AAATCAGGATTTCCAGAGAAGACATACTAATGCAGTAAAGGGAGAGAGCCCAAACCATCCAGTATTAACAAGCTGCTAATGTTTTGTGAATTATTCATTGTATTCACAAAAGAAATTTTTGTAATTCCATTATATGATGCCACTCACTATGTGTCCCAGCCACATCCGAAGAAGTGGGCTGTAGTCCCCGAAAGCTTATGCTCTAATAAATTTGTTAGTCTCTAAGGTGCCACAAGTACTCCTGTTCTTCTTTTTGCGGATACAGACTAACACGGCTGCTACTCTGAAACCTATTATTGGAGCAGCTGATCTCTAGGTCAGAAGCTAGCTTCATTCATGGTAATTGAATTACAATGTACACAAATGGGGAGAGAGGATGTCTTGGCAGGCTGCATTATCTTTGTGCTGCAAATAGGCAAGAAATGTGTGTGAAGAGTGGTTTCTTATAAAAGTGAATTGTATGTAAAAGGCCCACTGGCATAAGCATGTGGTGGGACACATAGTGAGTGGCATCATATAATGGAATTACAAAAATGTCTTTTGTGAATACAATGAATAATTCACAAAACATTAGCAGCTTGTTAATACTGGATGGTTTGGGCTCTCTCCCTTTACTGCATTAGTATGTCTTCTCTGGAAATCCTGATTTTAAAAAAAAGTTTAGATTAAATGAACATGTCATTATGCCAACAAGAATTCCAGAAACACATGAATTCTGTATTTTGTGAAAAATCCTTTAGCACTCAGACCTGACAAGGCAGCTGGTACAAATGTACTAATTAAAACTGGTCCTGCCTCAGATGATGGAATGTTTTTGTTTAGTTAAGTTTTTGCTTTTTCTGATAACTTTCAATAGCTTTTCTGTTCTGAAGAGCATAGGTAGCCTGGGAAGTCAGAATGGTACTACTCCTAATTAGTAACTTGCATTCCCTACCATTAACAATACAGATTTAATCATTATTCTCTCCACTGTTTGAGCTACAAAAGATGGAGTGTCACTTGAGTATGGAATCCAGTTTGAACCCTGGTAGGGTGACCAGACAGCAAGTGTGAAAAATCGGGATGGGGGTGAGGGGTAATAGGAGCCTATACAAGAAAAAGACCCAAATATCGGGACTGTCCCTATAAAATCGGGACATCTGGTCACCCTAAACCCTGGTTGGCATAGAGAATCTGGGTCTTCTAAGTACTGAACTGCTTGGTTACAAACTCCACCTAACCTCCTCACAGTTGATAATGTTGAAGTCACAGCCAGGAGTCCTTCACTTTCTCTACCTGACTGGAGGTTTATTTTAAAAACTGGCTCTTAAAATGACTTAATGTTTAGAATTGAAACAACCCTTTAGAAATCTACCCAGCTTAGTTTAATTAGATAGCAATTTTTTGAATCAGCTAATATTTAAAGGACTACATAATGGTTGCCCAGTAAATGTAAATTTTCATCCAGATCTTAGAATGAGTATGCAACTGTCCATATATCCTTTGACTGATTATACTTATATGGTCTTCATTACTGAAGTATCTGAGTACCTCATTGTCTTTTGTGCATTTACCCTCACAGCATCCCTGTGAGGTAGGGAAGTGCTATTATTCCCATTTTACAGATGGGGAACTGAGTCCAAGAGAGACAAAGTAACTTGCCAGCATACACAGGAAGTCTGTCGTGGAGTACGAAATTGAATCCAGGTCTCCTGAGTCTCAATCTAGCACCCGAACCACTGGACCATCCATCCTCAAAACATATTTTTGATGCTCATGCAGGGCCGACTCTATGGAATAGGCAGGATCCAGTTCATTCTGTCTCTTGAAATCTATAGGGTTGTAACATGGGCTACAACATTCACCTTTGCTTGTCATTTCTTTTAATTCTAGGATCTAATATTAAAAATAAATATCTTTCTAAATAAATCAGAACTAATTTATAAATTTATTATTCTAAAGAGATTATTGGCTCGTTTTTCCTCCTACTTCATGCACTTGCTCATTGAACTATTTTAACAGTTTACAGCATTGAGTCAATTAAATTCTTTTATCATTTCAGTTGCTCCACTTTGTTTTCTGTACCATGAACCTTCCAAATTGTATCAGATATTCCGTGAGATGTATGTGCGTTTTTTCTTCAGACTCCATTCCATCTCTTCTCATCCTTCTGTAAGTTCATTAGGAAATAACACCCAATCAGTCTATATTTCTATTTGTTATTGAACAATAATGCATAGTAGCATGATTTTATTTTCTTAAGTGTACATGGCTGAGTTATATCCCTTTAACTGTGATAAAAATGCCACACATGGCTGAAGTAACATTATACAACTTTATTTGAAATCCTATAATTTATACCTCAATAATAGTAGTAAAATTCTCTTGCAAAGACATATTTAATAATACAGTGGTCATGCTTTCAGGCTTTGGGGGGAGCCAAAGCTTTTATAGGCCTCAATTCAGAACAGCATTTACGCATGTGTTTAAGTGCCTTCCTGAATGAGGCCAGTTAGTTTTGTGTGTGATACAGAGGTAATAGATGATGGACTGCAGTGTTCTTTGAGTTACTCTGTACTAGAATTACATTGGATACCTCTGTTATTAATGCTCAGTTCTCATAAGAGTCTTAGTTTATAGGTTTAGTCATTACTAGTCATTTTCAAAGGGGTCTCAACTAGCCCCTTTTTACTCATGCATCTTTGTGTATAAACATACTTGAATGCACTTTTTTTAAGCACTGTCATATGCAGGTGATGGACTCTGTGTGAATTCTATCACTTGCATGTGCAAGTGTTGTTTATACAAATACAAGTGAATTTTTGAAAGTTTTGGTTGCCTTATTTTTTGTTTATGCTGCAGTATTAACTATTAAAGTATAACATTTTTCTCTTCTATTTTGTACAAAATCTGGTTATTAATTACATTTTGATAAAATACTTTTATTTAAAAGAAAATGGTATTCATTTAGCTAAGCATACAATTTTGAAAATTCCCATGATTACAAGTTCTTCTTGCCCTACATAAGCTATAGAAAACGTTTTAAACTGACAAGTGTTTTTTCCATTAAGAGATTGTATAAATGAAGAGAGCAATCATATTTCCAATTATGTAACAATGTATTATGAATTATGTGAACAGCACAGAAGAATGTCCAATAAAATTAAAATATGAGGGCCATTAAGAGTCCGTTGTAATACAGATTTTGTTAAAATGTGACTTAGAGCTGATCCTGCAAATGCTTACTCTTGGGAATACCACTTAGTACTGTGAATAGTCACATTGATGGTCAAATAAATAAACAAACATCACAGTGGTAGATAGTCTGTTTGGTAACAAACATTTACACGATTGGGCCTATGCTTTGGGATATTAGCAGCATTGTACCCCAGTATATGGGAATGTAGGCTAGTTTCATGATTTTTAAAAGGAATTTTTAAAAAGGGGAAAAATTTTAAATGTTATTCCACAGTTTAGATCACTTAACTTGTCCTTGTTTGTAATAATTTGATTTGTCACTTTTTTCTAATTATAAAAGATAATTCAAAAAACCCTGTTTTTGTCAGTGACCCAGGTGTAGTGTAACTGGAGTCTATTTTATCAGACTAAAACTAAGACCACATAGGTTATGTACTACTGGGCCTTTAATAGACTTAGAGACAGATTTTTAAAAAGATATTTAGGCACCTAAAATACAGATAAGTGCCTAAGTGGGATTTTCAAAAGTACCTAGTCACCTAACTACTATTGAAGTCAATGGGACGTAGTCATTTAAGTGCTTTTGAAAATCCTGCTTAGGCACCTATCCGTATCTTTCAGTGTCCACGTACTTATAAATATCTGGCCTTTAGACCTTAACCCTACAGATATTACACATGAGTGACTTGGAGTTGAATGTGACTACTCATTATATATACAGTTACTCAGGAGTGGAAGTGCTTGTAGGATCAAGGCCTTAGAGGTTGAAGGTATCTGGTTTGCTCACGTTACTCTAGTTGTGTATCACTGATGTATTAATGGTTTGTCTTAATGCTTAAATTAAAACTATATTAATATTTAAATTTGAATATATGAGTAATAGTGAATATATGTTTTCAGGGTGTGGTGTTGTTGTTTTGCTAGGGCATCGTGTCACTATGTTTGCTGTTTGAGACACTTCTTCAAACCCATCTCCCTCAGCTCTTCTATCATCTTCGAGAAATTGGGGCGCAACCGTAAGTACTTTTTCCCTGTTTCACCACTTATTCATGACAATAACTGTAACTCATGTTGTTCTAGAAATGCTGTTCTGTGATATTGTAACTTAACAATTATGGGGAGATTTTTAACAGCCCAAAGGTCAGTTAAGTGTCCAACATACATTGAAAGTCAATTTGAGTGGGTTGCCTAAATTCCATGTGTGCTTTTGAAAGTCTTCCCCTACAGTTCATAAAATAGAAAATGGGCTTGCATCTTTTTAAATTCCAACGTAAGCACTGTACTTCCCTCTTTGACAATTGAAGGGTGAGCATATTTGCTTTGTTTGGGCATACCTTACACCAACAGTTTGTTTAAGGTATGCCCAAACAATAAAATCCCTGAGAATAAGAACTCATAGGAATTCCAGTATTGCAGCCAAAAGGAACTTCACAAGAATTTCCCTGGCCTACAGGATAGATAGTATATCAGGAAAATCCTTAAGATCTTTTCTGCCTTGTATATAAATTCCAAATTCTCAATGTGTGATTTTACCCAGAGGCCAGATTCTACAATTAAGATTGGATATTAAACAGACTTCTGCTTTCTTTATATTACATTTTTGATTGAATTACTGAAAAATGAACTCAGAGGAACCAACTCACTGAAGTAAGGATCTGATTTCTAAACAGATTTCAGTAATTCATGCCAGATCTGCTAGGACTGTCTTAGTTTATTTCTTGGGGAATTGATGGTTGGATTACAGTGTGATACTGATCTGGCAGCTTCTCAAAGAGAGAATATTAAAAGAGCAACAGTGAATTATCCTAATGCAAAGGAGAGATGGGAAGAATAGTCAGAGGCCCATATGGCTCCATCAGGAGCTCTTTTATGACCTGAAAATCACAAAAGGAGTCCTGCAACAAAATGAAAATATGGACTAATTGCTAAGGTTGACTACAAAAGAATACCACAGGCATGTAGGGACAAAATCAGAAAGGCAAAGTCACAAAATGAATTACACTTAGTAAGGAACATAAAAGGAAATAAGAAGAGGTTCTGTAAGTACACCAGGAGCAAAAGGAAAGTATAGGATGAAGGAAAATGGTTCTCTATTTAGCAGGGAGGGAGAGCTAATACCAGACAACATCAAGAAGATTGAGGAGTTTTGCTTCAGTCTTCACTAAAAGGGTTAATGGTCACCAGATATTCAATATAATAAATATGAACAACAAGCGGGAAAGGAACACAAACCAAAATAGGGAAAGGACAATTAAAGAGTATTTATATAAGTTAGATGTATTCATGTTGGTGGGGCCTGGTGAACTTCATCTTAAGGAGCTAGTTTAGCAATCTCGGAAACTGTTATCAATTACCTTTGAGAACTTGTAGAGGAGGGGTGAGGTCCCAGAGGACTGGAGAAGGGCAAACACAGTACCTGCCTTTAAAAAGGGGAAGAAACCGGACTCCAGAGAATTGTAGATCAGTCAGTCTAACTTCAATACCTGGAAAGATACTGGAACAAATTATTAAACCATCAATTTGTAAGCAACTAGAGGATAATAGACTTATAAGGAATAGCCATTATGAATTTGTCAAGAACAAATCATGCCAAACCAATCTAATTTCCTTCTTTGACAGCCTAGTGAATAGAGGGGAAGTTGTCTAGATGAAATTACTAGAAGATGGATGCACAACTGGTTGAAAGTTGTTATTAAAGAGTAGATATCAGTGGCTTGATGCCAAACTGGGAGGACACATCCAGGGGGTCACGTAGGGGGCTGTCCTAGGTCCAGTACTATTCAATATTTTCATTAATGAGTTGAATAATGGAGTGAAGAGTATGCTTATAAAATTTGCAGATGACGCCAAATTGGGAGGGGTTGCTAGCACTTTGGAGGACAGGATTAGAATTCAAAATGATCTTGACACTTGGAGAATTGGTCTGAAGAAAACAAGATGAAATTCAATAAAGACAAATGCAAAATAGTACACTTAGGAAGGAAAAAAAAAGAAAAAAATCAAATGCACAACTATAAAATGCGGAATAACTGGGTAAGTAGTAGTACTGCTGAAAAGGATCTAAGGTTATAGTGGATCATAAATTGAGTGAATTGTGTGTCTAAAAAGGCTAATATCATTCTGGAGTATATTAACATGCGTGTGATATGTAAGAAGTGGGAGGTAATTGTCCAGTTCTGCTCGGCACCGGTGAGGCCTCTAGCTCCAGTACTGTGTCTAATCCTGGGTGCCACTCTGTAAGAAAGATGTGGACAAATTGGAAAGTACAAAGGAGAGCAATAAAAATATTAAATGTTTTAGAAAAACCTGACCAATGATGAAAGGTTTTTTTAAAAAGCTGTGTTTAGTCTTGACAAAAGAAGACTGGCAGGGACCAGTTAAGTCTTCAAATATGTTAAGGGTTGTTGTAAAGAAGACAGTGATCAATTGTTCTCCATGTCCAAGGTAGGACAAGTAGTAAAGGGGCTTAATCTGCAGCAAGGGAGATTTAGGTTAGATATTAGGAAAAACTTCTCAAACTATAAGGGTAGTTAAGCTCTAGAATAGACTTCCAAGGGGGGGGGTTGCAGAATCCCCATCATTGGGGGGTTTTAAGAACAGCTAGAACAAACACCTGTCAGGGATGGTCTAGATGTACTTGGTCCTGCCTCAGTACAGACGGCTGGACTAGATGACGTCTCTGGGTCCTTTCCTACATTTCTATGGTTCTATGATATGGCACTTACCAGCATAAACACTTGGAGCCAGAGACAGTCATTTCCTGTAATGTTTGTATAACACCTATTATAATGGGGCACCAACCTGGTTCCCCTGTAGATGATAGTGTAATATAAATAATAATAGCTTTTCCCCAGATTTTTAAGAAGCGAATTACTAGAATCATAGAAGTTTAGGGTTGGAAGAGACCTCAGGAGGACATCTAGTCCAACTCCTTGCTCAAAGCAGGACCATCCCCAACTAAATCATCCCAGCCAGGGCTTTGTCAAGCCGGGCCTTAATAACCTCTATCAATGGAGAGTCCACCACCTCCCTAGGTAACCATTCCAGTGCTTCGCCACCCTCCGAGTGAAATAGTTTTTCCTAATATCCAACCTAGACCTCCCCCATTGCAACTTGAGACCATTGCACCTTGTTCTGTCATATGCCACCACTGAGAACAGCCTAGCTCCATCCTCTTTGGAACCCCGCTTCAGGTAGTTGAAGGCTGCTATCAAATGCCCCCTCACTCTTCTCTTCTGCAGACTTAATAAGCACAGTTACCTCAACCTCTCCTCATAAGTCATGTGCCCCAGCCCCCTAATCATTTTCATTGCCCTCTGCTGGACTCTCTCCAATTTGTCCACATCCTTTCTGTAGTGGGGGGCCAAAACTGGATGCAGTACTCCAGATGTGGCCTCACCAGTGCCGAATAGAGGGGAATAATCACTTCCCTCGATCTGCTGGCAATGCTCCTACTAATGCAGCCCAATATGCCGTTAGCCTTCTTGGCAACAAGGGCACACTGTTGACTCATATGCAGCTTCTTGTCCACTGTAATCCCCAGGTCCTTTTCTGCAGAACTGCCGTTTAGTTGGTCCCCAGCCGGTAGCAGTGCATAGGATTCTTCCGTCCTAAGTGCAGGACTCTGCACTTGTCCTTGTTGAACCTCATCAGATTTCTTTTGGCCCAATCCTCCAATTTGTCTAGGATACTCTGGACCCTATCCCTACCCTCCAGCATATCTACCTCTCCCCCCAGCTTAGTGTCATCCACAAACTTGCTGAGGGTGCAATCCCACCTATCATCCAGATCATTAATGAAGATGTTGAACAAAACTGGCCCCAGGACTGACCCCTGGGGCACTCCGCTTGATACCTGCTGCCAACTAAACATCAAGCCGTTGATCACTACCCGTTGAGTCCAACAATCTAGCCAGCTTTCTATCCACCTTATAGTCCATTCATCCAATCCGTACTTCTTTAACTTGCTGGGAGACCGTATCAAAAGCTTTGCTAAAGTCAAGGTATATCACGTCCACTGCTTTCCCCATATCCCAGAGCCCATTATCTTATCATAGAAGGCAATCAGGTTGGTCAGGCATGACTTGCCCTTGGTGAATCCATGTTGACTGTTCCTGATCACCTTCCTTCCCTCCAAGTACTTCAAAATGGATTCCCTGAGGACCTGCTCCATGATTTTTCAGGGGACTCAGGTGAGGCTGACCGGTCTGTAGTTTCCCGGATTCTCCTTCTTCCCTTTTTAAAAGATGGGCACTATATTTGCCTTTTTCCAATCATCTGGGACCTTCCCCGATCGCCACGAGTTTTCAAAGATAATGGCTAATGGCTCTGCAATCACATCAGCCAACTCTCTCAGCAGCCTCGGATGCATTGCATCTGGCCCCATGGACTTGTGCTCATCCAGCTTTTCTAAATAGTCCTTAACCTGTTTTATCACAACTGAGGGCTGCTCACCAGTGCAGCAGTCTGGGAGCTGACCTTGTGTGTGTAGATGGAGGCAACAAAAGCATTTAGTACTTCATTTTTTTCCACGTCATCTGTCACTAGGTTGCCTTCCCCATTCAATAAGGGTCCCACACTTTCCCTGACCACCTTCTTGTTGCTAACATACCTGTAGAAACCCTTCATTTTTATCCTTCACATCCCTTGCTAGCTGCAACTCCAATTGTGCTTTGGCCTTCCTGATTACACTCTTGCATGCTCGAGCTTCCTTTTTGTGTTTAAGCTCACAGAAGATTTCTCTGTTAAGCCAAGCTGGTCATCTGCCATATTTTGCTCTTCTTTCTACACATCGGGATGGTTTGTTCCTGTGCCCTCAATAAGGCTTCTTTAAAATACAGCCAGACCTCCTGTGCTCCTTTCCCCCTCATATTAGCCTCTCAGGGGATCCTGCCCATCAGTTCCCTGAGGGAGTCAAAGTCTGTTTTTCTGAAGTCCAGGGCCGTATTCTGCTGCTCTCCTTTCTTCCTTTTGTCAGGATCCTGAACTTGACCATCTCATGGTCACTGCTGCCCAGGTTGCAACCCACTTCTACTTCCCCTACCAATTCTTCCCTGTTTGTGTGCAGCCGGTCAAGAAGAGCACACCCCCCTAGTTGGTTCCTCCAGGATGGGTGTCTTTGGTTTCAGGGTTTTGGGTGGAGGTGACTTAGAACCCTTTCAATGGGTTTCGTGGATTAGGAAGTTTTATATTAATAAAATTGATTTGGAGCCCAGACATAGAAGATACTGATCGTTTCCCTACAAGTCTTGATTAGGGTTTCAGGACACTACTGCAGCATAAATATTAATAATAATAAATACAAAGACTTGCAGGTCATGGAATTCTTTTTGAAATGGTGTATCTGTAATTTGTGAGAGAAATATAATACTTTCTTGTTTTCCAATTGTTTACAGACTACGAATATCGTTTAAATGGATGGTACGAGCATTCTCTGGTTACTTAGCTACAGACCAACTTCTGCTTTTGTGGGACAGAATCCTAGGATACAATTCTCTAGAAATTCTCGCTGGTAATGGAAAATTTTATTTGTCAATAATTTTAAAGATAATACGTGCTAAATGAAAATAGATGTTATCAAGAGAGGAAAATTCAATTCCTTTTATATGACTGCTGAAAATAGATTTGCTGAAAGTCAATATATATTAAATGGGTAAAGCAGTAATTCATGCATTTTCCAGTTCTTACAGGAATTGTCAGAGAATTAAATGGTTTTATTGTGACTACTTCTCCAATATTATTATTAGTAGTATTTTCTTTTGATAGCATTGATAACATGCTAGCTGCTTTGTGAACATAAAAGAAGGTTTGCAAGTTCCCTGCCCCAAAGATAGTGTAGTGCATAGTCTAGTTTACGTTAGTTTGTCACTGCTACACAAAAGATGTTGTTCTCCCTGCCCCCGACCCAGGAAAAGATGACTCCTTTACTATCAATAGGAGTCTTAAAAATCCTCCTTATTTTCTACTACTCTATACCCCTGCTCTTTAGAAATGTGAACTTTATTTACTTTTTTTAGTAACATCATTAATTAAGTTAATTATAAATGTTGTATCTTTTTATATTCACAACAAGCTTGCAAAGCATTTCACAAGTAATTTAGAGTGGAATTAAAAGCTTGCTTTTTTAATTGAAAATATCACACATCTGATTATTACAGAGGCACAGTGTGAGGCAAGAAGCTAGCCTGAGGCAGAAGCTCAATAAAATAAAAAGCTCTTGCCCTAAGAATAGACCATTAGCCTTTTAGTTAGATTTGCATCTGTACGACATATGTAGAGAAAGAATATCTCCCTTTATGAGAGAAACTAATTTTACAGCCCAAAAGCAACATAAATGAGCCCTTTGTTCACTTTATGCATTGAAATTTTGCTATTTTAAATAAATGTTTATCCTCTGCTTAGAAAAGAAACAATTTAAAATGTTATTTTTAATCATGTCTTTCACACAGTTAAAACCTTAAACATATTACTCAACTTTTTTGAAAGAACACAGTAACATACTTATTCATTTTTATGAAGGAGTAGCCACATGGTAAGAACTAGAGCACTGAAATCCACTACTTACTGTCCTTCAAAAACAGAATGATTGCTAAAGAGAGAGAGTGTGTTGTTAATTTTAGATCAAGATTAATTCTAACAATTAATTAATAGGTCAGCAGTTTAAATATTGTGCATTCTTTTTCAGTCCTGGCAGCTGCTGTGTTTGCTTTCCGAGCAGTGAACCTGATGGAGGTGACATCACTGGCTGCAGCTGAAGTAAGGATAAGTTTCAGTTAGAGGAGTTTGAAATAGTTCTTGATGCATTGCCAACCAGAGCAATTTAAGCTTTAGAAGTACATGGCATGCAATACAAAGCTCTATGCTTAAATTCTTATCTTAGGTAAAAACTCAGAGGAAGTTACAAGAATATAGTGCATAAAATTCCTTTTTTGGCACATGACAAAAGCATATAAAATATTATAAACAACGCACTCTCATTGAGCTCTTTGTGTATCTGAGTTTTTTCCCCACTATTTTAGTATGTGGTCTAAATTTATTCTACTAATATGATTAAAGAATATTACCCTTAAAAATTGGGGAGGTTTGTACACTCATTTTTATTAATAAATATAAAAAGATAATTGCTTCTATGCCTTTTGATATTACATAGATTTTAAAAGGTTGCTTTTATCAAATAATGAATTGGAAATTTCATCTTGATAAATGTCATCTTGTTATATATGTGAAAACTGACCAAAGTGAAGCTTATTGTTACTAATTACTATTTTTGTTAATTTCCCCCCCCCCCCAAGAAGCTGATAAAATTCTATTCTATATTATGGAATGTTGGTGATGACTAGTTATATTTTTTTAAAATATATACTTACATTAGATGATGATTCACTTTAAGTCATCATTAAAGTCACAGACTTATCTTACAAGTGCTACCCAAGACACAGGATAAAGATTCATAATGTACAGTTATTTTTAGAAGCAAGTTGAAATGTTAGACCTCTTGTGCCTGGTATCATGGGTTTATATTTGAAGTAAGTCTAAAGGGTAAAATAAAGTGACTTTACTTGCTGTCTGTTCATATAGGTGCACTTTTTTTTACGCGTTGAAATGTTAGATTGAAAAATCTGGGGAAAAGGAACCTCCACAGACTGATATGATATAATAGAGTTTAGAAGGTAATTATTGTCAATATATTCTGCAGTCAAGTTTGCCTCAACTTTTTCTGATTTCTTAGGTACTACTTCAGAGAAATTTGATTCAATTTTCAAGTTTAGCAAATCCTTTTTGTTCTTTTTCCCAGGCTGTACTTGCTGACCTTTCAACCCTGAAGGTTATGCCTCTTCTTCAGATCTTCCTGTTTGCCACTGTCACTTGATCTGCTTCAAGGTCACTGACACCACACATCCAGTCTTTCATTAGAAACTAATAATGAACTATGCAACGTCTGCATAAAACCAAATTAAACTGTATGTATATGTCATTTACAGATCATGTTCTCTTTACAGTTAAATGTAAGTTTTTCTACATATAAAATAATAACTTTACACACTAACCTGTGTATTTGCATGCTGCTGTATTTCAACATAACAGCAATAGATATAACTGATGAGGTATGAGAATCATTACTTGTGCATATAAATAACGCAAATCAATGTATTAAAATGCATGTAAAATGCAATAAAACAAAGGTAATGCAGTTAAATTCTTGATCTAATATGAGTGCCGTAACAGATCCACTAATATCAGATTGGAGAAAACTGTCTTTCATCTGATTATAACTTATTCAAGCCCCCACTACAAGAATGCCAACTCGAGAGTACAGTAACACTTGAAAATGAGCTTTAACTTTTGGGAACTTTTATGTCATTTCCTAGGAGAAATCAGAGAAATGCTTCTGTTCCATTTCTGTTTTCCTCTTCATGTTCTTCCCCATTTTACTTATTTCTTTTTAATCTATTTATCCCCCACAGCCTTTCTAAGGGCTGGTCTACACTGGGCGGGGGGAGAGGGGGGAGGGATCGATCTAAGATACACAACTTCAGCTATGCTATTTGCGTAGCTGAAGTCGAAGTATCTAAGATCGAATTACCTGGGGTCCACACGGCACGGGATTGACGGCCGCGGCTCCCCCGTTGACTGCGCTACCGCCGCTTGCTCTGGTGGAGTTCCGGAGTCGACGGTGAGCACGTTCGGGGATCGATATATCTCCTCTTAACGAGACGCGATATATCGATCCCGGATAAATTGATTGCTACCCGCCGATACGGCAGGTAGTGAAGACGTACCCTTAGATATCTGTCGCTAAGTATCAAAGGATGTGAGTTTCAAAAGTGCCTAAGAGAGTCTTGCCTTGCAAAAAGTGCTGGATATAGCTTCCTCCAGAACTTGTCAAAGCCTAGCTTTAAGTGAGCCAAAGCAGTTCCCGGAGAATGTGCTCATCACAACCTTCCAGATGGAGCTGGCTAACTGGGATAAAAAAGGACTTGTACCTTTAAGAAATCCTTTATAATGGGTGTGGTGGAGGGGGGAAGCTTACAGGGATGGACAGGAAAAAGGCAGAGAGCAGGGCCAGGTTTGGAGAAGGACACTGCACTGCCCTTTCTGCTCATGGGAAGAGCGGCAGTGGGGGAGGGATATTTATTCCCTATACAGCCATGGCTGACCGCACCCACCCACCCATGAACTCAGCAAACCTCTTGATTTGCTGTGGGCATTACAGTAGTTGCCCTTTTCCTTGGAGCCTGGGAAGGAATTTTTCCCTCTGCACTAGATTGGCTAAAGTGAGGTGGTGGTGGGGATTGCCTTTCCACAGCTGGTCTGGTACCCAGTGGGGTGAAGCAGAGGGGTTAGGTTATAATGTCACAACTTAGTAAGTAAAACTAATTGCGGATGTGCTGTGCAGGTACTCATTATGGAACGGATACCATTATCAGATAAAGTGGTTTGGAAAAAGATTGGAAGGAAAGCATCCTGTAAAGGGGGTTTGGGGACTCCTACTTCTTCTACAGTGGGGAATTGACCCTCCTCCTTTTCCTAGGCCCTTTTAAGAAAGCCAAGGAAGGGGGGCTTGGTGCTCCTACGTCTGGAACAGTGAGGAGCCGACTCCCCTTCTCTTACGGCAGGGGCTCTCAAACTGGGTGCCGGGACTCCACAGGAGGTCATGAGGTTATTACATGGGGGGGTCACGAGATGTCAGCCTCCACTCAAAACCCCGCTTTGCTTCCAGCATTTATAATAGTATTAAATATATAAAAAAGTGTTTTTAATTTATATGGGGGGTCACACTCAGAGTCTTGCTATGTGAAAGGGGTCACCAGTACAAAAGTTTGAGTCCCACTGTTTTATAGCCCCTTCCCCCCACTTTCACCTCATATAAGGGGAGGGTGGAAGGGTTCCAGCAATTGGAATGCTGGGACAACATTGGAGGTTATATGGAAATAATTAAGAAAATGATAACCTGGACTGTACAATTTGTTGCCGGGTACTGCCAGATATATTAAGTGAATAAAGTTGCAGCCTAATGAAACAATATCCATTGCCTTCTGTTTTCTTCCAGCATGGATGCATAATTAAGATGGCAGGTCTTTCTTATCCCCTATCCCACACACCCTTTTCGAGACCTGTATGTGTGTGTGGCCTCTGCTGGTCCAAGAGCTCAGGCTTCAATTCAGGATCCAGCTCATATCCCTGCATGACTGTGTATTGCACTGTCACTAGACCACCAGGTGGCCCATCTTCTGTTGATTATAATTTCTCTTTATGATTTTTCCAAGGATTCTGAAATACTAAACAGAACCATTAATGTATTACTTCATTTTAATACCTAAAAAAGGATTATAGTCAAAATTGAGTGAAGTGTATAACATTGTATACCCCATGCATTCACCATATCCTTTTATTTTGGACCAGTTTCTACTTTCAAATACAGTATGGATGTGTGTGGAACTTGACCCTCTATATTTTAAGAGAGATCCAGCTTCCATTTACACTAGACTATTATCTACATTATTCATATACAGCGTTAACAATGCAAATATTAGTTTTTTATAGACCCCAAAAAAGTACTTATACCTTGCATATAAATTGGGCATGCTGAATGTATGACAGTAAGGCTATATCTACACGGCAATGTAAGCCCGAGCCCAAGTCTAACCGCCTGGCATCTACACACCAATGTGTTAACCCAGGACTCTGCAGGGCTGGGGGGTCCAAGCCCATGTTAAGCTGGGATCTAGCATCCGAGCCCTATTGCTTTCCTGTGTGCACACAGCCTTGGTCTGACTCAAATCCTGGAAGTCCTCTGGATGTATTCCAGAGATCCTTGGGGCAACTTCCTTAGTCCTCTCTCTGCTGACAGTTTGTGGTGCAGTCTATTGCAAATGGAAGCCACACCTCCCTTTGTCAGTTTGACACTTCTCTTATGATTACGGCCATGCAGTCAATCTCAAAACAAACATCTAACAAAAGAGTTAATTACAAACCTATTTTAAAATAATAGTATCGCAGAAGACTAGGACCTGGCATGTGAATTGAAGGCTGACTATATTTTTCAGTGGACAGGAGTAAACACAATTTGTGCAAGACAAAGAGTGTGGCTAATTTTTATGCTTTGTATTTTTTTTAACAAATAAGTTGAATCTTTTTAGATACCTACTGATCAGGACACAAATTAGATTTTGGCAAGCAAGGGCACAATGTAAGCTCTGGGATTTACTAGTGACTCTATAGTTAGTTTTATCCAGCAGTTTTTTGGGGGTTCATAGAAATATTTTGTACTTATATGGCACTTTTCATCTGAAAATCTGAAACCAGGATTAGTTATAGTTCCCAAGACCCCTTACTAATGTTAAATCAGTACAAATGAACTGTAGATAGCAGTGGTATTTAATTGTTTTCTATCTGTATAGAATTGCATCCTAACTTTTTTGTTACTAGTGATATATTTTTCCTCTTTCCACTTTCTTTAGATGCTTTTAGGTTACAAAAAAAAAAGTTGCTTTGAAGGCCAATTCTGGTTCATTGATGCTGATGTGAAGGTTGGACTGTGGAAAATTGGCATTGTTACAGCTTACAAAGGAAGTTAGTTATTTTCAGTATTCACGTTACTAGTGAAAAATTTGATTTCACCAACTTGACAGACATATAATTAGATATTTAATTTTAGTTCATGATACTTAGAACATGCCAGACAAAGCAAACACAAACACTTAAACTTAAAAATGTATTATAAACATTAACCTTTACCAAAACCAACTTACAAAGACTGCTATTGTTAAAAATGAAATGCAAGAAGAGTGATACTAACACCTGCTTCTCCAACACACACTTTCCACATTCAGGCCAGAGGACCCCACCTTGTCCCTCTACCCTACAATACATAGAATCGTAGGACTGGAAGGGACCTTGAGGGGTTATCTAGTTCAGTCCCCTGCACTTATGGCAGGGCTAAGTATTATCTAGCCTGGGGTTCTCACAACAAATTTTTTGGTAGCCTCAGAGTACGGCCACCAACTCTTGCTGGTGGCCACTTTTGATAATTTTTCCTAAAATACTTAATTAACTTTAGGAAAAACATATAAATAAGAACATATACACATCCAAATCATAGTAATTTATTTATGTAAGGGTTTTTTGCAGACTGAATAATCAAAATAATGTACAGTTGTCTCTATTCTTTACTAGACCTAAACAGAATAGAAACACAGATAATGTGCATGGCATGTTCTTGTCTTGTTTCATTGCTTTTTTGGTTGCATTTTTGTTTGACTTGCTAGCTAGTAAGTCTGCTTCTGTGAAAAATGATATTTGTATGTTTGTTAATATCACTTCTCACAGCAGACTTACTCAGCCCTGGCAAGCTACGGATAAATTAAGATTTAGATGAGGAGGGAGGTAGTGGAGGCCATGGGTGATGGGGTGGAGGGGTCAAGGGATGGAGTCTGCCAGGTCCTGAAGCTGGGGGGCCACAACCTGTGACCAGAGCCGGCCGCTGTGCAGTTGGAACCTGCCCGGAGCCTGCCCCAGGGCTGAAGCCGGAAGCCGGAGCCCCACTGCCCTGGGAAGGTGGGGAACTCTCACAGGTGTCTGCTCTTCCAGCATTGTGGCTCCAGAGGGGGGCAGGGCCAAACCCATCCTGGTGGTCCCAAGGGAGGGGCCACTGTTTTTCCCCCACCCCTCCAATCACTGCCCATAAGGCTGTGGCTGCAAGAAAAGCCCCTGGTGGGCTTTGAGAGACACTGATCTAAACCAGGATTGGCAATCTTTGGTACGTGGCCCGCCATGGTAAGCACCCTGGCAGGCCGGGCCGGTTTGTTTACCTGCTGCATCTGTAGGTTCGGCCGATCGCAGCTCCCACTGGCTGTGGTTCGCCATCCCAGGCCAATGGGGGCTGCGGGGAGCAGTGCGGGTCGAGGGATGTGCTGGCTGCTGCTTCCCGCAGCCCCCATTGGCCTGGAGCGGCGAACCGTGGACGCGGCAGGTAAACAAACAAACTGATTCTCAAGTGATAGTAAGAAGTTGTAAAGTGCCCTAACTCTGTGGAACACCTTTCTCTTCAGCAACATGGAAAGGGGCTACTGGCTGTTAGGTTGTCTAAATGAAGAACAGTACCCATTACTGGCCTTATAGTGCTGCTTCATCCTGTTATTGTGGCTTGTACCTCAATGAACATGTAAAACAGCCATGTGTGCTGTCAGGTCATAT